TTTATCCTAAGTGCAATGGGAAGTCACTGAAAGATTTTTTTTTTAAATCTATTTTATTGATATTTTTAGAGAGAGAGGAAGGGAGAGAGAGAGAAACATTGATGTGAGAGAGAAACATCGATGGGGCTGCCTCCTGCACACACTGCACTGGGAATAGAGCCTGCAACCCGGGCATGTGCCCTGACTGGGAATTGAACCTCTCAGTCCATGGGACAATGCTCAATCCACTGAGCTACACAGGCTGGGCATGAAAGTCATTGAAAGGTTTTAAGTGAAAGGGGTAGCATCAAATTTGTCTTGTGAAGAGATAACTGCCTGCACGCAAGGTGGAAAATGGTAGAGGGGCACCAGTTAGGTAGCTATTGTGCTACTTTTGGTGAGACTGATGTCCTGGACTGGGATAGTAACAGAAGAGATGGAATAAAATAGGTAGATCAAAGGTCGGTTTAATAAGATTTGGTGACAGATTTGTTTTAGATGGTGAGAAGGAAGGAGGATGTTAAGGATATCTTAGAGGTTTCTGATTGGAACCATTATGTGAATAATTGTCTATAAACTGAGAAGTGAAAACTGGAAGAGGCTCACACTGGAAATAAAGATTGGTTTAGTTTTAAACATACTGAGTTTGAGGTGTTTCTGTAGATGTATAGTTTGTGGTTGAAAATACATTAGGAACTTGGGAGAAAGGTCTACTTTGGAGATTTAGATAGATTTAAGTGCCATAGGTGGTCATTGAGGCCATGGCTGTAGATGAGATTGCCTAGGCAGTAAATGTAGAGATGAAAAACGGGCATAGGGCACAGCCTTGAAGAGTTACAATATTTCAGTTTTTAGAGATGTGTTCTTCCCCAGAAACCACTTAGACAATAGGACTGTCTTGATTTCTTCTGACCATCTCAATTTTTACCCCCATCTTTAACTTTTAAGATGAGTGGATGAGCTTCAGTTTGTCTGATTAGTTTTTTTTTTCCTTGTCTCCTTTTCAGCCTACACTATTTTTTATGATTCCATTTTATCTCCACTATTATTTTATTAGTTATACCTCTTCCTAAATTTTGTAATAGTGATTACTGTAGGGTTTTCCACACATACCTTTAACTTATCACATGCTACCTTCAACTATAGCATTTTGTGTATAGTGGAATAACTTTATAAACCTTATCATTTTAATTCTTCTGACCCATCCTTTGTATTACAATGTCATACATTTTACTTCTACATGTTGTAAACCCCATAATAAATTATGTTTCTGTAGACAGTTATCTTTTAAAGGCATTATAAATAAGAAAAACTTTTTAAAAATATACCTCCATTTTTATAATTTCTGGAGCTCTTTATTTTTATTTTTTGTAAATCCAAGTTTTCATTTGGTATCATACTTCACCTGAAGAACTTTCTTTATAACATTGCCTGCTAACTGGTACTACGAGAAATGAATTCTTTTCAGCTTTTGTCTGTGTTTTGCTTTCATTTTGGGGAAGTATTTTCACTGGGTGTAAAATTGACAGTATTTTTTTAAATTTTAGTATTTTTAAAATGTCATTCTGTTCTATCTTGCATAGTTTTTGAGATGTCTGCTATAATCCTTATCTTTATTTCTCTGTACGTAATCTTTCTTTTTTGTCTCTTGTTGCCTTTAAGATACTTTCTTCAGTTTGATTTTCAGCATTTTGACTAATGAATATAGGTGTGTGGCTTTTTTATCTATTTTGCTTGGTGTTCTCAAATTCTTGCATCTGTGATTTGATATCTTCCATTATTTTTGGAAGATTCTTGGTTGTTACTTCAAAAATGTTTCTGCTTCATTGCTTTCTTTTCTCTCATTTTGGGACTCAAATTACTTGTATTGTTCCATAGTCTTGGATGATGATGTTGATGATGATGATGTGTATGTATGTGTCAATTTGGATGATTTCTATGGATCCTCAAGATATCTGAACCTTTCCATAGTTGTGTCCAGTCTGCTGATGAACCCAGTTTATCTAGGGAGTTCTTTATTTTTGATCATGTGTTCTATTTCTGTCATTCACATTTGACTGTTTCTTAAGTTTCTACTTCTCTGTTGAAATTCCTCATCTCTTCATGCTAGTTGCTACTTTTTTCTACTTGGTATTTTAACATATTGGTCATAGTTACTTTAAAATTCTTGTCTGATAGTTCTAAATCCTGAATCATCTCTCAGTTGGGTTTCGTTGATTATTTCTTGACAATGCTTTTTTCCTCTTGCAATTTTTGATTGAGTGCCAGATAGATGTGTAGGAGAATGGTAGAGACTGAGGTGAATAGTATTTATACCATTTACAGGTCTCTTGTGGGAAGTTGAATCAGGCTATCAATACTTGAACTGGATTTGGGTTTTGTTGTTGATATTTTTGTTTTCAGTATATTGCAGATTTACATTTCTCTAGTAATAAGCCCGTTACCTTGTGCTTGGAATGGAGGGTTTGGGTGCTTGTAGGGTTTTCTCAGTTTTCCTGCTTTCTTTTTAGATTTTAGTTGTCTCTGTCCACTTTGCTACAGATGAGGGTCTCTCTCCATGTTTCTACCCTCTCTCTTTCAGACTGTTACTGCTTGTTCACTCTTAGGCTTTTTGGTGGGGGCTGAGGGTTTTATCTATTTTCATAATTCAGCCTTAGTCTTATTTGGGCCCTTGGACTTGGGGGTGGGGCTTTTTCACTGTTTCTTTAGCCAGACTAGCCTTACATCTGTAGTTGCTTTTGTAGGGGTAATTTCCTGCCCCTCCCTCAGCTAAGGTAGTTAGTTATCTGTCCCAGAGGTAGAAGGATTTTTCTTCTGCCCTTCCTCCATCAGCAGTAGAGCCTTGCCTGTGTCCTAGGCAGGGGTTTCCTATTCCTCCCTACAGGCAGCTTTCTTTTTCCTGTTCTTTCTCAGAAGCAGTCTTTGCCAGAGTCTTATGAGTGAGAGATTTTGCTGCCCCTACCTCAGATTTAAGTTTTTTTGTTTTGTAATATTTATAGAATGTGGTGGGGCTTTGTCTCCCTCTTTGTGGTTGTCAGTTACCTCTTTCTTGCCTGTGCTACAAAGGAAACTTTCTCCTTCACCCCCCTCTATCCCCATCTTTCTTGTAAGCATATGGTAAAGGTCCATGGAGAAGATTTTGAGAGTGAGTGGAAACTTCTGTGTCTGCTCTAAACTGACAGACTAGCCCATGCTCGGCCTTTCACATTTTAGCTAATTTCTTGGATGGTGGCCACTTCTTTCTCTCATACTCTGCCACAGAAGAGACAGTTTGTCCCCTTTCTCATTGAATGGGCTTATCTCTCTCAGAAATTTCATTTTTTGGGCTGTCTTGCAACCTCAACTCTGTGATGCAGCTCAGATAGGTGTGATTTGAAGGGAGTGGGCTAACCTATTGTTTTCTCATTGTTTGGGAGAGATTGTCATTCTTTGTAGCTGTCTACATCCCAAGCAGAAGTGGAACTCCCATTCATAAGTTTTAAATTGATGTTTTGGTGATTAGATAGGCTTGATTTATAGTCATCTTTAAAAAAACTTCTTCAATACCAATATTGTCCCATGAGGGAATTTTAATATAGGCATTGTTAAGAGTTTTGAATTTTGTATTAAAAAATAAACATTATACCAAAAAAGACCTCCCAAAATTCTAACTAAGGCTAAATATAGTTGGAGCCCCTCTCCATCTGGTCATTTAAAATAAACACAATTAAAAAATAAAATAAAATAAAAATAAACACAATTATGGAATGGATCTTGGAGAATTTCATTAAGACGTAATGGCCTTTGGTATTTTCTATAAAAATTGTGGCACAGTTCTACTTATTAGTGAAAGATTTGTTTAACAGATTTTTCCAGGTCTTCAAGTGCATAATCCTGCTATCTAAGTTGGGTTATATTTTCCTGCTACATTGAGGAACCTAGATGTTCTTGCTAGCCCTCTCTAGCTAGTGTCTTTTTTCTGGTTTTCTTTCTTATAATTGCAGTGAGAACCTGATTGGTGTCTATATGCTCTTGTAATGAAACAGTGGAATTTTTTTATTGAGAATTTTTAACTAATTAAAAAGTGATAATACATGTGCTTTATAGATCATTTGAACTGCAGAAAAATAAAAAGAGGAAAGTAATCATCACCTATAGTTTCATGTAAAAAAAACTCTTAGCATTTTGGCTTATTTCTGAGAATAAAGGAATGAACCAGTCAATCAAGCAATCACAATCACCCTGCATCATTAAAAGGTTTTTTTTTTTTTGCATTTATTTTCAGATAGAGCAGGAGAGAGAGAGAGAGAGAGGGAGGGAGGGAGGGAGGGAGAGAGACATCTACGTGAGATAGACACATCAACTGGTTGCCACCTACACGACCCCAACCGGGGCCTGGGACAAACTGCAACCGAGGTACATGCCCCTAGCGGGAACCGAACCCGGGTCTCTCTGGTCTGCGGGCCAGTGCTCTAATCGCTGAGCCAAACAGGCCAGGGCCATTAAAAGGTTTTAATAAACATTTAAAATGGGATGTATATTTCATTATTTGGAATTTTGTAACATTCACCAGAAACTTTCAGTAACTGCTTCCCTTTGTAGCATTCATAATTTGAAAATCAAAAGGTTTAAATTTGAAGCTCATTTAAAAACTTATTCCACATGATGAACAAAATAAGCTGACAAACAAAATATATCCAAAGACATGGAAGTAGGGAACAGGCTGACAAACCTCAGAGGGAAGTTGAGGGGGTGGGTGGGGAGAGATAAACCAATGAATTTACATGCATATGTGCATAACCAGTGGTCACAGACAACAGTGTAGTGAAGGCAGGGGAGGACTGGAGCAGGGAGGAGGGTTTTAGTGGGGGTGAAAAGGAGGAAATCTGTAATACTCAAAACAATAAAGATGAAAATAATAAAAGCTTATTTCATTTGTAATTGTATTTCAGTGCATAGGATATTTAGATTTCTGGTTCTGTTTTTAAAGGTGGATTTTATTTATAGATTCCATTGACTGTATGCCTTTTCTTCAATTTCAGAATTCCATACGACATAATCTGTCTCTGAACAAGTGTTTCCTTAAAGTGCCTCGATCCAAGGATGACCCCGGAAAGGTAGGATTTATTTTCTTAAAATAATTGGATTCTTCGTTATATCTGTTGTCATATTTGTACCTAAGCTATATCTATTTTATAAAGAAAAATAATTGGACAGAGCATTCAGGTTCATTGATCAGGAATATATGTGAAAATAGCAAGTCCTTCTTCAGCCCACTGGGCCCTACCCTGCCCCTCCTCACCCCCCATTTTAGTTGGTATGCGTCAAGGACCAGCCAGGCAGGGAGAGCTTCCTTTTTAAGCATTGGGAAGCTAGCTAGTATAAAGCTGGTCCTCCGTTATAGTTTGCTGTTTCTAATCTAGTTTTTGTTTGGTTATTTTCTTAAGTGTGTATTAAATTAAATTTGGTTTTTGAACTGCTTGTTAGGAACCACACTTTATTAATTATTACATATAAGAGATGGATTTGTGTTTACTTGGCAAGTGGAAGTAATTCTTACCTTGAAATAAAATTGTTTTGTTATTTTCTTTTTTTCTTAGTTGCTGTTTTATCCTCTTCATTCCATTTATCTCCTGCCACCATTATTACATTTTTGGTATTTTTTTCACAGAGACTTTTTTTGTTTGTTTCAACAGCTATGTCAACTGCAGTGCGGCCTGAATTTGGTTCTAGTTGCTTGGTTTCTAAGCTCAGAGTATTTCCTTGGACCATATTTGGTTGTTATGAAAAATTATTAGATTAGGACTTTGAGACAGTTTATCTGTTGGCAAGCATGCATTCTTGTTTGGATATTTACACTTCTTGTATTCTTTAGGCTAAATGTCTCTGGAAAAATTTTTCTAAAATGTAAGCCTGGTCATGTTATCACCCTGCTTAAAAATACTCCCCAGTGTTCTGGAGATGTTTCTTTTATAAAATGTACTTTATTATATTTTTCTTGATCTGTGTTTCTAGCTATGCTTCACCCCATTCAAGACCCACTGTGAGGAACTACTTGAAGTTTCCAAACATGCTCTTCATATGGTCTTCTCTTAATGCACAAGCTCCCTTCCTCTATTTGTCTGGCCTACTCGTTGTCTTTAAGATTGAGCTGTAACATTACTTCTCTGAGCCGCACCCCCACACACACACACCCCACACACACACACCCCAAATGAGTTTGTTGTTCCCTCTTTTGAGTTCCTGTTTACTTTGTCATCATTGTAGTAGCTCCTAACAGGTCTCTCTCTATCCATGGTCTTACTATTCCTAATTTATAGTAACTTAAACATAGTTGCCAGAGATCTTTAAAAAATGTTAACCTAATCATGTGTACTCTGTGTTTAAAATTTTGATTGATTATCTACTATCCTTAGATTAAAGTCTCAGTTATGAGGGTAGGGATCATGTGTATATTGTTTACTTGTTAGTACCAATTACTTGCGCAGTGGCTGATAGCACTGAGGAGAAACTTGTTGAATGAATGCATATATTGTGTCCTCTGCTAGCTGGTTAACTTCTTAAGGTTAGAAATGGAGAGTTATGCATTTCCTTTTTTTTTTTTTTTTTTATCCTCACCCGAGGATATTTTTCCATTTTTTTGTACAGATAGAGTGGGAGGGAGAGAGAGGAAGGAGAGAGAGAGGGAAACATCGACGTGAAGGGACACATCGAGTGGCTGCCACCCGCACGACCAACCAGGGCCGGGGACAAACTGCAACCGAAGTACGTGCCCTTAGCGGGAATTGAACCCGGGTCTCTCCGGACCGCAGGCCGACGCTCTAACCGCTGAGCCAAACTGGCCAGGGCGAGAGTTATGCATTTCTATTGTAAAAGCAGGCACTCCTAAAAAATGAATTTGTATAGCATATACTATGATCTGCCCCATGAAGTTGGTTCTTAATAAGATTGAATAGATTATTATAATAGTTTTCTTATTCTACCCAATGTATTATTTGCTTATGTTCATAACTCTCCAAATCTGTGACTAGGAATTGGTGAAATTTTTCTTTCCTTTAAAGCAGGATTATTATAAAAAAGGAATTATAAATTTTTATATTTGCTTAATTGCAATTTCCTATTGGCAGTGAGTGTATATGAATCTGACTGAAAGGGTTCTTAAAAGTTTAGCAATTATATATTTTATTAGAGTTTATGAAGCAACTAATTGGATTCTGTAAACATGCGGTTCAGATTTAATTTTTAAATGAGGTTTAAGTCATTAAAAAAACCCCACACATGAATGTATAACTATATTATGTACTAAATTTTTTTATTGTTTAAAATTTTATTTATTTATTTTTATTTTTTTGTTAATCCTCACCTGGGGATATTTTTCCATTAATTTTTGATAGAGTGGAAGGGAGAGGTTTGGGGAAGGGGGAGAAAAACACATCGATTGGTTGCCTCCTGCATGACCCCAACCAGGGCCATGGATTGAACCTGAAACCCAGGTACATGCTCTTGACGAGGAATCGAACCCATGACCTTTCAGTTCGCAGGTCAACACTAACTGCTGAGCCAAACTGGCCAGGGCTAAAGATTTTTTAAATTGATTTTTTAGAGAGAGAAAGGGAGAAGGGAGGGAGAGAGAAAAACATCGATGTGAGAGGAAAACATTGGTGGGCTGCCTCCTGCGTGCCCCCTACCTGGTATCGAGCCCACAACTGGGGTATGTGCCCTGACTGAGAATTGAACCCTGCACTCTTTTGGTGCACGGTTTGGTGCTCAACCAGCTGATCCACACCAGCTAGGACTATATATTGTTGACAGTATTATAGATGTTCCTCCCTCTCCCTCTTCCTTCCACCCAGATCCACCCCACCACAAGCCTTTCCCAAACTATTGTCTGTTTCCATAGGTTATGTATATTATGCATATATGTTCTTTGGTTAATCTCTTTCTGTCCCCTCCATTATGTACTAACTTTTAACCAATTGGAGACCTGTTTTAGAAAAACTTCTGTCAGGTTATCTTTTGTGCAGAACTTAGAACTTTTTCCACCTTAGTTAACTAGTATCATGGTGTAAGGGAGATGTAGAAAACATATTACTCTTTAAAAGTATTCTTTTTGAATTGGGATTGTCTCACTAATATGCAACCAAAACAAAATACAGAAATAAATAGGATCCTGTGAGGTAGATGAAAGCTTTCAGTTTGTACCATTAGTCTTCCATTTTAAACTTGTTTTTATCAGAACATGTCATTGTTCTCATTGATTTTGGTCATAAAAGGAAATATTGTATATTTGATCTTATAAAGTACCTTTATACTGAGTCATTTTTATTTTCACTCTTCAAGATGAGGTTTAAATATCCATTGCCCTTAAGATTTTGGTTGGAAGTAAATGTAAATCTGATCTTATAAAATGAATAAAATCATTTTAATTTTTGATATCAAAGTAAAATTTTTGTTTTAAAAAGTTCCATTGCTTAAAAAAAGTTTTGAAAGCCCCAGATTTAGCCCATTTTATAGAAGAGGAAACAAAAGCCAATAAATGAGGAATGACTTGGGTTCAGTGTAGAATTAGAACCCAAGTGCATTGGCCAGACCTATTTGCAAGTCACAGAAACCCATTACCAACCAACTTAAGAAAGAAAATATCTGCAGTAAAAACTGGAGCCTGGTTCTTGAATTTTTTCACCAGGAATGTCTCTACATCCCTTAGCTTTTCTAATGGCTGCATTTCAGCCCATTTACTGGCAGAGATGGCCATCAGAAGCTTCTGGCTTATATTGTGCTAGTTTAGTAATAACCCTTAGCTGAAAGAGTATTTGGTGTCCTCTCCCCAAGTCACCTGGAGAATAGCAAATGTCTTAAAATGAATGCTGACCAAACGGAAAACACTTGATTTCTTGGTTCCTAGACTAGTGCTTTTTCCACTATACCAATCTTCCTTGAGAGGGAGGCCAAAATGTTAGTTAAATTTTGGTACTTATGAATTGTTCTTTCTTTTTGTATTACAGTGTTTCCTGGCATTTGAGGAGCTTTTCCAAAACCACCCTCACCACAGTGGGAGAAAACCATTGAGCCAAGGTGGGGTGGGAGTAGTTTTGGTCTTTGGGTATGGGGTGGACTTTTACCCCTTAGGATTTTGCTAGCTAGCTGCTGCCATGACCCAGACGTGTCCAAGAGGTAGTGGTAGAAGTAGCTTATGCAACATCTTCTTTCTGTATTTTTGTGGTATAGCTTCCTGTTCAGTGTATTACCAGAGATGTATAAAGGCCAGCCTAAGCTTGAAGAGTATTGTTGAATTACAGATATTTTTATATGGCTGTTTATTTTTGACTCAATCCTTCATTTCCTAGAAGCTGTTGTCATACAAGCCCTTAATATTTGATACACTCCCATGTACACTGATGTTCTGAAATCCATTTTCCTCTGTTCCCTGAAACTAGTTTCAAACAGCATGTTACTGTTTTCTTTAAAAAAGAAACACAGCCCTGGCCGGTTTGGCTCAGCGGTTAGAGCGTCGACCTGCGGTCCTGAGAGACCCGGGTTCGGTTCCCGCTAAGGGCATGTACCTCGGTTGCAGTTTGTCCCCGGCCCTGGTCGGTCGTGCGGGTGGCAGCCACTCGATGTGTTCCTTTCACATCGATGTTTCTCTCTCTCTCTCTGTTCCTCTCTCTCCCTACCACTCTACCTGAACAAAAAAATGGGAAAATGTCTTCGGGTGAGGATTAAAAAAAATAAAAAATAAATAAAAATAAAAAAGAAACACAAAATGAAGTTTGCATCGATAATTGCTGCTTTTTGGGGGGACAGATTTCTATTTTCTTTTCTTAATTACAATCCTGTTTCTTCATACTGCAGTCTGTCCATTTTTTTTTTTTTTACTATGATTTTTGTCTCCTTTTTTCCTCATTAGCTTTACTTCCTGTATTTTTATCTGTTTTTTTTTTTTAATCTAATGTTTTTGTAAAAGTCTTCGTCTACAACTCACACGTCTGTTACTTTAATCTTAAAGAAATGTAAATATTTTACTCACATGGAAAAACAACTTCTACCAGCTAAATTTAGTTTTAAAATTAGAGTTCTTTTTTTTTTGCTTTCCACTTAATCTTTTCTCAGCCTTGTT